GAATAGAATAGAATAGAATAGAATAGAATAGAATAGAATAGAATAGAATAGAATAGAACAGAATATAGAATAGAATAGAATAGAATAGAATAGAATAGAATAGAATAGAACAGAACAGAACAGAACAGAATACAATATAGAATAGAATAGAATAGAATATAGAATAGAATATAGAATAGAATAGAATAGAATAGAATAGAATAGAGAATAGAGAATCGAATTGAATAGAATAGAATAGAATATAGAATAGAATAGAATATAGAATAGAATAGAATAGAATAGAATAGAATAGAATAGAACAGAACTGAAAGGGTCCTTGGAGGTCTTCTAGTCCAACCCCTTGCTTAGGCAGGAAACCCTACGCCACTTCAGACAAATGGTTGTCCAATCTCTTCTTAAAAACCTCCAGTGATGGAACATCCACAACTTCTGTCATTCCACTGATCAATTGTTCTCACTGGCAGGAAAATTCTCCTTAGTTCTGGGTTGCTTCTCTCCTTTCTCTTCTACTCCTATGGCTGGAAGATCATTAAAGAGAGATCCAAGCCAATTTCCTGACAGTAAGAATAATTAACCAGTGGAAAGGCTTCCCTCTGGAAGTGGCGGGTGCTCCATCACTGGAAGTTTTAAAGAAGAGTTTGGGCAGACAGAAGCGCAACAAAGAGGATCAGGGGAAAGGAGGCTAAACCATACAATGAACAGTTGAAGGAACTAGATACGTCTAGTCTAATGAAGAGAAGGACTAGGGGTGACATATTAGAGAAGTCTTCCAATTTTTGAGGGGCTGTCACAGCTAAAAGGTTGCCAGCTTTTCTAGAAATCAGGTCAGTGATGGGATTCAAATGGGTTTACCACCAGTTCGGTGGCGTGGCGTGGCATGCTTTGAGTGCGCACGCATGCCTTGTGCCAGTGGTGGGATTCAAAATTTTTCACTACCGGTTCTGTGGGCGTGGCTTGGTGGGCGTGGCAGGGGAAGGATACTGCAAAATCCCCCTTCCCTCCCCATTCCACGAACCTGCTTTCCTGCTCCGTTCTCCTGTGCAGGGCAACCAAAGAAGACCCAGCCGATCAGCTGCGACTCGGGAGGCAGAGAATAGACGGGGGTGGGGCCAGTCAGAGATGGGATTGGCCGGTTCTCCGAACTGCTCCAAATTTCCGCTACCAGTTCTCCAGAACCGGTCAGAACTGGCTGAATCACCACCTCTGCCTTGCGCGTGTGCATGGTAAATGCACACTTCGCACGCGTCCAGAGGCTTTCCTACCGACCTTCTCCTGCACTCCTGCACTCTCCCTCTTGTCTTCAACAGCTGACGCACGGCAATCCACTGTGCTGTGCGATGCAGCTGAGGTTGTAAAGCAGGAAATAAAGGCCAATATGGGAGCTCGGGCGGGCGGCGGGCCCAGCAGCTGATCGTCAGAGCAAACCGTTTCGTTCCCAGATGATCTTTGAAGCTACCGGTTCAGTCGAACCGGGCCAAACCGTTGGAACCCCACCCCTGAATCAGGTCAAAGTTGTATGGAAGTTGTCAGGTAGAAGATCAGTAAGAAAAACATCCTTGAACAAGTGCAAGTAGTCTTTGGCTTACAACCATTCGTTTAGTGATCGTTCAAAGTTACGACGACACTAAAAAAAAGTGACTTATGACCATTTTTCACACTTGACTGTCATGGTCTCGTGACTTACCTTCAGATGCTTGACAACGGGTTTATATTTACGACAGTGGCAGCGTCCCAGGATCACATGATCAGATCCGGAATAATGTCAGGTTTCCAAGTGATGAAATCCATTTAAAAAGAAAAGCACAAAGTCCACCTTCCAAGACAAATTCTTTTATTTAGGAAAGCATCAAATTGGCAAAGTCTGTTGTAATTCCAGATCTGACACAACCCGGAATTACCCCACAATATTAAAAGTTAGAAACAACCCCCCAAAGTCACATTCTCCAATAGAAGTAATTCAACGTTGCTTGATGTCATAAATCTCCAACTCAAGGGGCCTAAGCATGGACAGCTCATTTTCCCATGGGAAGAAGAACCACCTAGCCTAAACAACTCTCTCTATCTCCACTCCTCCCCACTTAGGAATGTGGCAAGCCCAAAACCCTCCCCTGCCATGACTGCCACAGAGAAAGTAAGAATAAGAATATATACTACGCCTAACTAAAATGGCTAAATATATGTCAATTTCGGGCTTGACACATCTTTTGTGACCGACAAGTACAGTCACAAAGGAGAAGCCAGATTCATTTAACAACCGTGTCACTAACTGAACCAATGCAAGAATTCACTTAACAACTGTGGCAAGAAAGACCCATGAAATGGGGGCAAAACTCACTGAAGAAATGTCTCACTTAGCAACATAAATTCTGGGCTCGATTGTGGCCATAACTCAAGGCTTACCTGTATATGGCTTGCTTTTCATTTTAGGAAGTTTGTAAACATCGTGGCCACTAGAGGGAAGCAGAGCTTTACCCGTTTTGGGGACTCTGAGAATCCATAAAATGTTTCTGCTTCATTATCAACGTCTTACAATAGAATAGAATAACAGAGTTGGAAGGGACCTTGGGGGTCTTCTAGTCCAACCCTCTGCTGAGGCAGGAAACCCTACACCATTTCAGACAAGTGGTTGTCCAGTCAAATTATCAAGACGTCCAAAACAATCTTATTAAATGGACCTCATTCGTGACACAAAGTATAGGAAGAATTTGCATCCGTAAAAACAAACCTAGCAGGATCCCAGGATTTTCTTTACACCCCTTTGAATCATAATGTTGAGACTTTGGAAAGAGTACAGAGCAAAGCGATGAAGATGATTAGGGGACTGGAAATTAAAACATAACAAGGAACAGTTGCAGGAAATGGGTATGTCTAATTTAATGAAAAGAAGGACGGGAGGGGCAGGATAGCAATCTTTCAATGTTTGAGAGGCTGCCCCAAAGAAGAGGGGGGTCCACCTATTTTGCAAAGCACCAGAAAGCAAGACAAGAAAAGATGGATGGAAACTAATCAAGGAGAGAAGCAACCTAGAACTAAGGAGAAATTTCCTGACAGTGGAGAACAATTAACCAGTGGAACTACTTGCCTCTAGAAGTTGCAATGCTCCAACATTGGAAGTTTTTAAGAAGAGGTTGGACAAACCTCTGTGTGAAATGATACAGCGTTTCTTGCCTGAGGAGGGGGTTGGTTTAGACTCTTAGAGCAGCGGTCCCCAAACTTGGCAACTTTAAGACTTGTGGACTTCAACTCCCAGAAATCCTCAGCCAGCTTTGTTCTGGGAGTTGAAGTCCACAAGTCTTAAAGTTGCCAGGGTTGAAGACCCCTGCTCTTGAACAGTGGTCGCCAACCAGTGGGCCGGGGACCACTGGTGGTCCGCGAGAAAATTTTGGTGGTCCGCAGAGAAATGTCTCCCCCAAAGCAATTAATCCAGGCTGCGTGGGAACACAAGGCTGCGCCGCCCACATGGCCCACCCAACTGTTGGGCCCCACCCTTCATCCGAGCGCAAACCTTACCTTGAGTAGAGCTGGAACTGGAAGGTAAGACCAACAGTGGGGGAGGGAAATCCGCCCCGGTATAGCTTGCTGACATTAGTGGAAAGTCAGTCCCATATTCCAGAGCTGCAGTAGTCACAAGACTGACCCTTTGGTCATCCCAGAGCAGCTCCTCCAGTCCACGGCAGTCCTGGTGCACCTGGGTGGAAGAGTAACTGCTCCTGTGACTACTGCAGCTCTGGAATATGGGACCAACTTTCCCACCAACGTCAGCAAGCCACCGTCAGTCAAAATGCATATTAGTGGTCTGCGGGGTTTGAAATTATGAGTTTGGTGGTCCTTGAGGTCCAAAAGGTTGGAGACCCCTGCTCTAGAGGGTCACCACTTAAGTATGAGCCAGTAGCGTGCTGCAGCTGCTAAAAAAGCTAATGCAGTCCTAGATTACACCAACGGAGGTAGAGTATCAAGATCATGTGAAGGGTTAGTACCACTTTATACCACACTAGTGAGGCCACATGTGGAATACAGTATACAGTTCTGGTCACCAAGATACAAAAAAAAAAGATGTTGAGACCTTAAGAAAGAGTCCAAAGAAGAGCAACAAAGATTTGCTCTTCAATGATGAACAATTGAGGAAGCTAGGAAGGTCTAGTCCAGGGGTCCCCAACCGCCGGTCCGCGGAACAAGTCTTACCGGGCCGCTGGTTGCTGGGCGCCGCCATCTTTTTTGACGAAAAAGTGCTTCCGGTGAGGTCACCGGAAGCACTTTTTCGTCAAAAAAAGATGGCGGCGCCCAGTTGATGCCGGTACCGGGCTGCGGCGTCAAAAAGGTTGGGGATCACTGGTCTAGTCTACAGAAAAGGAGGACTAGGAGTGATAGGATAGTAGTTTTCTATACCTGAGGGGCTATCCCAGAGAAGAAGGGATTGACCTATTCTCCAAAGCAGCAGAGGGCAGGACAAGAAGCAACAGGTGGAATTTTTTTAAAAGAAAGACCCAACCTAGAACTAAGGAGAAATTTCCTGACTGGGAGAATAATTCATCAGTGGAACGGCTTGCCTCCAAAAGTTGTAGGTGCTTCATCACTGGAGGTTTTCAAAAGGAGGCTGGACAGCCATTTGTCCAGAACAGTATACTCTTCTGCTTGATTAGGGGTTAGAATAGAATCGAATAACAGAGTTGGAAAGGACCATGGAGGTCTTCTAGTCCAACCCCCTGCTTAGGCAGGAAACCCTACACGGTTGTCCAATCTCTTCTTAAAAACTTCCAGTGTTGGAGCATTCACAACTTCTGGAGGCAAGTTGTTTCACTGATTAATTGTTCTAACTGTCAGGAAATTTCTCCTTAGTTCTAAGTTGCTTCTCTCCTTGATTAGTTTCCATCCGTTGCTTCTTGTCCTGCCCTCAGGTGCTTTGGAGAATAGCTTGACTCCCTCTTCTTTGTGGCAGCCCCTCAGATACTGGAACACTACTATCATGTCTCCCCTAGTCCTTCTTTTCATCAGACTAGACATACCCAATTCCAGCAACTATTCTTCCTATGTTTTAGCCTCCTGCCCCCTAATCATCTTTGTTGCTCTTCTCTGCACTCTTTCTAGAGTCTCAACATCTTTTTTATATCGTGGCGACCAAAAATGGGTGCAGGATTCCAAGTGTGGCCTTATAAAGTGGTACTAACACTTCACGTCATCTTGATTCTATCCCTCTGTTTATGGAGCCTAGAACTGTGTTGGCTTTTTGGGTAGCTGCTGCACACGGCTGGCTCATATTTAAATGGTGGTACACTAGGCCTCCGAGATCCCTCTCACAGTTACTACTATTGAGCAAGGTACCACATATACTGTACCTGCGCATTTTGTTTTCCTTGCCTAAATGTAGAACCTGACTTTTTCCACCACTGAATTTCATTTTGTTAGATATAGCGCTTTGCAGGTTGAACTAGATGACCTCCAAGGTCCCTTCCGGCGCTGTTTTGTTTTTGTTTTTTTTTTATTTTCTTTTGCTTTGAAACAAACTTGCAGCTACAACTGTTCCAATTAGCCTCATAGACTGCAGTGGACTCCACAACAAATGCCTTTCTTGGGATGATTGACAAAAAAAAAAGAAAAAAGCAAAGCAAGGAAGGACAAGTAATAATGAAGCTCTTTGAAAAACAAAGCCAAGACCAATCAATAAAACAGCAAGTAATGGAAGCATTAGACAAGCACATCAGATATTTAAAAGCCTGGAAGCAAACATTTTTAAAGAGTTACTTAGTTAGACAGAGGAGGACATCCCAGAAGGTTTCCAACACGGAGTGAAAGGATCAGCAATTCCCATGAAAGCCTTCTCAAAGGCTTTGAGTAGAGCTGAGGGTTTGAGGATATGAGGCAATTTTCAGAGAGAAAAAAAATTAAGAAGGCCCAGTGGCCTTTGCAAAAAAAAAACCAACCTGTATGAAACGTATGATGTAGGATTCAACTTTGAGAGGGTCTCTAAAGTAGCCTATGTAGAAATTGCTTTTCTTCCATGAAACAAAGTGAGGTTCAGGTGCCAATTTAACTTAATCCCCTCTATAATCGTATTTATCCAAGCTGTAGCTCCCTGGAGATGCACTTCTAAAGCACTTGACATTTCAAACTGTTGCTAAAACTTGAAAGAGAGTGCTAAGTTACTGTTTATAATTCTGTCCTCACCCATGTTCATAATTGAGCTTCTCAAAAATGCATAGGAAAAACACAAGGGGGGTCCCAGGACAGGTGAGAATTTGTTTGAAGTCTACCACCCATTTCTAGAAATGAGAGAGAGAAAAACGTGCCTGGATTTTGATAATGGAATAGGAATAGGAAGTGGAGTGGAATGGAATGGAATAGAATGGAAAATAGAATAGAATAGGATGGAACATGGAATAGAATATGGAATGGAATGGAATAGAATAGAATGGAATGGAATATACAGTAGAATGGAGTGGAATATAGAATGGAATATGGAATGGAATGGAACGGAATGGAATAGAATATAGAATAGAATAATATAGAATTGAATAGACTATAAAATAGAATAGAATAGAATAGAATAGAATAGAATAGAATAGAATAGAATAGAATAGAATATAGAATAAAACGGAATGGAATAGAATATAGAATAGAATAATATAGAATTGAATAGACTATAGAATAGAATAGAATAGAATAGAATAGAATAGAATAGAATAGAATAGAATATAGAATATAGAATAGAATAGAACAGAATAGAATATAGAATAAAGGAATGGAATAGAATAGAATAGAATAGAATAGAATAGAATAGAATAGAATAGAATAGAATAGAATGGAATAGAATATAGAATAGAATAATATAGAACAGAATATAGAATAGAAGAGAATAGAATGGAATAGAATAGAACAGCTTCATTGGCCAAGCATGATTGGATACACAAGGAATTTGTCTTTCTGTTTTGTTGAGCAGTATCAAAATGAAAACAATTTATGCTTAAACTAACCGTCTCCATAGAACAGTTATGAGTGGACTCTCCTTGACTGAAGGTGTTTAAACCAGGGCTTGTGGGCTACCTGTTGGCAATACTCTAATAGAGAATTCCAGCAGGGGGTTTGATTAGATGTTTTCTAAGATCCTTCTAAACTTTACATTCTATGATTCTGCACGTAAGAATGGGTCCAGATCAACGCTTGTCATAGTTTGCAGCTTCTTTGGAAGTTGCTCCTTCTCCTATCTCACAACCCCATGTTTCTTAACCCACGGAGGGCTTTTGTTTTCCAGATGAACCTTGCCAAGGAGACAAATCGATCTTCTGCCAGATGGAAGTGCTCGCTCGATACTGCTCCATTCCGGGCTATAAGAAGTTATGCTGTGAATCTTGCAACAAACGTAGTGGCAACTTTCCTCTTCCTTTCTACAGCGAAGCAGCAGAAACCGAAGAGGGCTTCATCGCCAGCCCCGCTGTCCTTCCAAAGTCTTCGGTCACTCCAACTTCTTTAGTCCCTCCTCGCTCTGAGCGACAAAGCGCTCCGGGAAGAATGTCCTTGGCTGAAGACAACACTCAAGTCCTTCTCCCTCCAATCTACAAGAGGCCCCAAGCTGCTAATAATCCATCTCATCGGAGATTTCGGAGTCAAGCCAGTAACAAGATGTCTGGACCAGCTGCATTGCACCATAACCTTTCCACCAACGATGGTCTTCTTCTTAGTCACCGTTCCTCAACTTTGTTTGACACTGGGCCAGTGGTGACACACCATCCCACTTCTGTGGACATTCATTCTTCTCCCAGAACCCCAAGGAGAAATGAAAAGCGAGCCGAAAGACAGCAACCCTTAAGATCCTCCACTATAGGAAGATGAAACATTAGGAATTTTAATTTTCAAGTGGGGAGAGTTCATGGGAGCAGAGAAGGTGGTCTCCTTGCTTTGTCCAAGACGCCGTGCAAAATCTTCCAACCCGAGACTCACGTAAGTCAACAACTGAAAAAGAAAGAAAGAAAGAAAGAAAGAAAGAAAGAAAGAAAGAAAGAAAGCAAAGTGCAGGTTCACTTTACAGATGCTTCTAGTCGTGTCCTCCTTCCTCCGTGTCCAATTCTTTTCTCCAGATCTGGCTCTCTTGAATGTTCAGAAATCATGAAATCAAGAAAGCCTGGTCAATTTCCATCGTTCAAAACAAGCAATCAAAAAAAAAATCTACGTTGCCCATCAGGTGCTTATTGTTATTGTTATTATGGTTAATTCAAGGGGAATGGGATTGAATTTTGTTTTGGGGATGAGGGAAGAAGCCATTCAAAGATACCAAAGTTTACACTTTTTAGGGAATGTTTTTGTTTTGTTTTATTCGACTGTACACCATGGATGCCCACCTGAATTGTATGACTAATTTATCTCTGCAAAAAAAATAATACGGAATGTATCAGCTGCCATGTACATAATGTATATTATTGAGAGGGAAAAAACAGAAAAAGCAGTGGTTTTTTTTTTTTCCTAGCTTTTTCTCATCCACTTATTCATGGCATATCAGGGTCAGCCCTTATTTACATTCCATGAATATGTTTATTAGCCCGAGTCTGAAAAAGATGGATAGATGCGCACTCAAGCATTACCTTGACAGCCTGGGCATCTATGAAAGCGTTTAAAAAAAATAAATAAATTCCCGAAGATCTGTTGTGCCACATCAAAACCATCCAACTGGCAATCTTTTTTCACGAGTACCAAGATTCAAGAGAAAGGGACAGCAATTTAAAAGCCTTAGAATTTGATAGGAAGGTTCAATGAGCTGTGGAAATTATGTCTGCAGCTCTTCGGTTCCTAGCAGATATTGTTACGCTGAGAACGATTTGTGGAATTGTTCCCATTTGTAACTGTCGGAGGAGGACATCTGGATTCTTATCTCTGAAGTGTGTTGTTTGGGAAATGAAATTCTCAAAAAGCAGAGCAGGCAAGCTGCTGCCTTCCAGATATTTTGGACTGCAAACCCTTTACTGATATAAATGTTTAAAGTTATTGGAAAAGGCAGCCTAAAACAACTACTTAGAGGAAAAGCATCTGAGGAAGTAGTTGCCAACCAGTGGGCCGGGAGAAAATTTTGGTGGTCTGCAGAGAAATGCCACCCCCAAAGCAATTAATCCTGGCTGTGCGGGACCACAGGGCTGCACTGCACACATGGGCCGCCCACTCGCTGGCCCCCACCCTTCAGCCGAACACAAACTTTACCTTGAGTAGAGCCACGCGAGCTGGAACTGGAAGGTAAGACCAACGGCCGGGAGGGAAATCCACCCCAGGGTGGCTTGCTGACGTTGGCGGGAAAATCGGTCACAGGACTGGCCCTTTGGTCATCCTCGAACAGCTCCAGGGCAGGCCGGTGAACCCGGGTGGAGGAGCAGCTGCTCCGGGACGACCAAAGGGCCAGTCCTGTGACTACTGCAGCTCTGGAATATGGGACCGACTTTCCCACTGACGTCAGCAAGCCACCGTCAGTCAAAATCCGTATTAGTGGTCTGCGGGGTTTAAAATTATGAGTTTGGTGGTCCCTGAGGTCCAAAAGGTTGGCGACCCTCGGTGTCTAGGGTACCCATTAGTACCATTTCCCCAATGGAAGTTGTGTGCAAGTCGTCCTTGACCCACAACAGTTCATTTAGTGAGCTTTGCAAGGGACAATGGCACTGAAAAAAATGTGACTTATGATTGTTTTCTTTTCGCACTTATGACTGTGGCGGCATCCCCGGTGTCATGTGATCAGAGTTCTCAGACCCTTGGCAACTGACTCAGATGTATGACGGTTGCCGTGTCCTGGGGTAGCGTGTTCCCCTTTTGTGACCTTCTGACAAGCAAAGTCGATGGGGAAGCCAGATTCCACTTAACGACCGGGTGACTAACTTGGCAGCTGCAGGGATCCACTTAACGTCTGGGGCAGGAAAGGTGGTACAATGGAGCAAAACTCCCTTAACAGCTGCTTCGCTTAGCAACAGAAATCTGGGCCTCAACTACAGCTGTAAGTCGAAGAGTACCTACGATTGAAATCTACTGGCAAGTCAAGGAAATCCGTTCTCTGGGCCACCGAGGAAAAAAGACACCCAGGGAAACTCTTTGCCTCCAGTGTAAAAAGCTTTATTGGAGCCAGGATTAGCAGTGGCTTCTGATTTTGCCTGCCCCAACTCCTGATCGTTGGTTGCTTTAAGATATTGTGTTCATGTGCCACCAGCAATGATGGCCCACTGGCTCCCAAGACTGGCCCAGGCAATCAGTTTTGCAAAAGAGCATCAAGAGAAGAATGGAGTCCCTTACGCGCCTCCTTGTATTATTTTGTACAAGAGGTCAATTGTCCCAAAGGTGCTTTTTCAAGAAGCAACTGGACTGTCATGTCCCCGTCGGAGTCCATCAGGGAGCGGGAGGGGTGGCTCCGTTGGCTGTGGAGGAGGCTGGGGAAGGGCAAAGTCAGGCTGGGCAGAGCAGGGAAGATGTAGAACAAAGGAGAGGGGGGTTCAGAGGAAGACCCAGGCCTACCCCCTCTTCAACCTAGGGCAAGCAGGGAGGAACAGAGAAGAGAGCAACGTGGGTTGCGTGGCTTACGGGGGAGGAAAGGGCCCTGATTCCCTTCACAAGGCACACCTGGGGATGGAGTTTAAAGGAGAAGAGGCAGTTGGGAGGGGCGTTTGTCAGGAACAAACACTGAATTCATCTAGTGTTGAGAACTGTGGCCTACATTCCTGGCATTGCTTGTGACTGTTGGAATTATTGCCATGCTTCTATATGCTTATCTTGCCTTGCTGGAATTATTGGACTCACTATCTTGCCCTGCTGGACTGATCGATTGCAGTCATTCTGCTCACAGCATTTGGACTGGAGTATCTGCAGCCAGAGGCTGTTGCAGGTTCGTTGGAGAGCTTTTCTCCAGGCCGGAGAGTAAGTGGACATTTGGGGGCAAAGTTGGAGTAAATAAAGGGACTCCTACCTGTTCTCTGGCCATGTTGCCTTTGTACCACGCCCCGGGTCATCCCATGGACGTCCTGGTTTTTCTTTGAAGGCATTTCACTTCGCATCCAAGACGCTTCTCATCCATGAAGCTTCTTCAGCTCTTCAGGTAAAGAAGGACGAGAAGCGAAACGTCTTCAAAGAAAAACCAGCAAGTCCAGTTGCCTCTTGGGAAAAAAAAAGCACCTTTGGGACAACCGTGACCTGGAGGACTGAGAATCTCTCTAGACCAGTGATGGCGAACCTTTTCGTTGTGGTGTGCCAAAAGTGCGAGCGTAATACCCACAACGTAATGCGCCCCCGCCCCCTTGCGCATGCGCATGCAACACCCCACCCCCTTACCTGCACCATGCATGCATGCGCCTCCCAGCTGATTTTTGGCCTGTTTGAAGCCATTTTCACCCTCCCAGGAGCTCGAGGGAAGCCTCTGCAGCCTTTGGGGGGCGAAAAACGGGCCCGTTTCAGCACTTCCGGTATTTCCGGAAGTCCCGTTTTTCAGCCTCCAAAGGCTGCAGAGGCTTCCCTTGAGCCCCCGGGAGGACGAAAAAGGCCTCAAACAATCCGAAAAATCAGCTGGGAGGTGCGCGCATGTGCAGTGCAGGTAAGTTTGGCGGGGGCTTGCATGCCCTCACAAATGGCTCTGCCATAGGTTCGCCATCACGGCTCTAGACAAAGAGATCCACTCTAAACCCGGTTGGGCCAACTCATCACAGAACCTAGGAAGCTGTGGCTGAAAGAGAGTCTGAGAAGAACCACCACATGGGTGAACTGGAAGAAGCAGAGATAGAAATGTGTGGCCACTGTGCAAGGACGCAGGTCATGTCTGCTGTGCAGAAAGGAAGCAGAGATCACTAGCTGAACAATTGGTGGCCCTTAAGTTACAAAAGTTCATTTAGTGATTGTGGGAACATTTCCAACTGAATCGTAAATCAGGCTCTCAGTGTCATAATTGGGGTAGCATACAGATAGCCCTGAACTTTAACCATCATTCATTTAATGACCGTTCAAAGTTACAACAGCACTTTAAAAAGTGACTTACAACGTAAATACGTTTTTCGTACTTACAGCTGTCGCGGTATTCCCGCAATCATGTGATCAGAATTTAGATGCTTGGCAACTGGCCTATCAGTCAGCATTCCAGCAACCCTCCATTCCGCCCGATAACTCCGAGACAGACCTCTTCTCAAAGGTTCCTTTTTATTTTGGATAGCAACTGGCACAAATGTGGAATCCTGAATCTGAATGTTCCGGGCTTCCTTACAATAAGTAAAACAACTACAAAATCCATCCCCTGCACCCATCATCACGTCACATGGCCCCAATCACCATCCGTCCCAAGTTAAGACTTCCTCTCACTTATGTGCAACACCACCTGACCTTGAATCAGGAAAAGAATGTTATGGTGCCTAACTGGATCTACTCCAATAAATTCCCCCCTCCCACTTTCCCAAGCTCAGATGTGACAGTTGTGGGAGCATCTGATCTCAATATGGCTTCCAAAGCTGACACTATCTTTATGACAGGTGTGGTGTCCTGGAGTTGTGTGATTCCTCGTTTGTGACCTTCTGACAAGCAAAATCAATGGGGAAGCCGGATTCGTTTAACAACCGTGTTACTAACTTAACAACTGTAGTGATTCACTTAAGAACTTTGGCAAGAAAAGTGGTAAAATGGACCAAAATTAACCCTTAACAACTGTCACGCTTAGTGATGTTGGGCTCAATTGCGGTCGTAAGTCGAGGACTACCTGTAAATAGCCACCTGGTGATAGAGAAACCTTGCTAAGACCGGTTGGCCAGGCTTGGAGAGAACTGCAGGATCTCCATAGGGTTCCTTGAACCTCACAGGAGAAAAATGGGGTGTAAGAATCATCATCTTCTTTTAAA